CAGGAGCTGGAGCGAAGGGAGGCGGGGGCGGCGCGGGCCTCCAGGCCCCGCCCCAGCCCCGGGCGGCTGGGCGCACTGCGGGCGTGGGGCGGGCCGGACAGGCTGCGGAGCCGGTAAAAGCCGCACGGACCGCTGGCTGGGCACTGACGACCATGGCGCGTCCCAACCTCCCGCTGTCGACGGGCCTGGCCCTGCTCGCGCTCTGCCTCCTGATGCTGTCCTGCGACGCCCGGAGCCGGCGGCAGGGGCACATGCTCGGGGAACGCCAGAACCTGTCGACCAGCGACCCGCAGGTGCAGAAGGTGGTGCAGGCGGCTGTGGCCAGCTACAACATGGGCAGCAACAGCCTCTACTACTTTCGCAACACGCACATCATTAAGGCGGAGCGGCAGGTAAGGGGACAGGGGCACAGGCCAGGGCAGACCAGGGCAGCGGTGGGAGGCCAGAGGTGCAAGATGAAGGGGTGCCACATGAACTATCAAAATAACACTTTCCTACAATACAGGGTACCCCAAAAGTTGCCGTACATAGGGAAAATGGGAAATTGTAACTACAATTTCCCAATACAACAGGAGCTATAATTTCTCATTTCTTTATACGGGGGGACTTTTGGGACACCCTATATTAGAAAACCCGAATTAATGGGCCAGGTCTGGTGGCTCATGCCGGTAATCCCAGCACTTTGGGAGGCGGAAGCCTGAGTATTGCTTGAGGCCAGGAGTTCGAGATCAGCCTGGACAATATAGTGAGACCCCCATCTCTACAAAAAATAGAAAAATCAGCTGGGTGTGGTGGTCCCTGCCTGTATTCCCAGCTACTGGGATGGCTCAGGCAGGAGGATCACTTGAGCCCAGGAGTTTGAGGTTGTAGTGAGCTATGATGATGCCACTGCACTCCAGTCCTGGCAACAGAGCAAGACCCTGTCTAAAAGAAAACCAAACCAAACCAAACCAAATCAAACAAAAAAACCCTCACAATTCAAAAAACCACCAAATTAATTCCAAAAATCCATAGTGGACAAAATATCTACATTTCAAAGGAACAGATGCACTCCTGTGTTGCACAACCCACCTCACTTGCTCCCATGGTCCCTGCTCTGACAGGGTGGATTGAGGGAGGAGGGGAGGCAGTTGGGGACATGGGCAGCCCCAGTGGCATGTCTGCCCAGGCTTCGGGAAGCTGTGTGCAAGTGGGTCTCAGCCTCCAGCACAGTTTAGGACTCTCCTGGGGATCCCCACCCCAGGTCCAAACCCCCAGGCCAGAGTGCTGAATGTGTCCCGGGGGCATGGGACAATGTGGAGGGAGGTGAGAGGTCAGGACCAAGAGTTGTCTCCAGGCAACCCTGACCTGCCCCCACTCTGTCCCCAGTTGGTGGCTGGCATCAAGTACTACCTGACGGTAGATATGGAGAGCACCACCTGCCATAAGAACAGAAGTGCTGGAGACCACGTCGACCTCACCACCTGCCCCTTTGCCGTGGGAAAGCAGCAGGAGGTAACAGCCGAGCACCCCTTGCCCAGTTCTCTGCAGAGCCTCAGACCCCCAGTCGTCCGGTCTGAACTGGTCTCGTTGAACCTGTCTGGCCTTCTGATGACAGCTTCCAGGCCAGGACAGGGAGTAGCAGGGAGGCTGTGGCTTCCCTGGGGAGTGGGGGAGTTGGCTACAAAGATCTGGGATCTAGCCCCAGCCATCTAACTTGATGTCCTTTGGGCCAGTGACTGTCCCTCTCTTGCACCAGAGTGGCACTGACAGGCAGAGGGCTGGCTGTTAGCAGTGAGTGGGCTCACTGACTCAGCAGTGAGGCTGGGCTCACCCTCCTCCTCTCTATCTCTCTCCACAGAAGCTGCGCTGTGACTTTGAGATCCTAATAGTTCCCTGGCAGAACTCCACCCAGCTGCTAAAGCACAACTGTGTGCAAATTTAATAGTCCCCAGCAGGAGCGGCGCAGGCGGTGGGTGGCCTCGGTGGCATGCATTTCAGGTCCATGGACATCTGTCGCAATAAATTGGCAGCATTGCTTATGTTGGCTCCTTCTGAGTGCTTCTCCCTTCCCCACTCCCACTTCCACTCCTGGCAGCTCCCAGCACCCCACCCCATGCTGACAGGCCACCCGTGCAACCCCGAGCTGAGCTTCTGTCCCAGCACCGATAGTGTGCCGAGGGTGCAGGGTTCAGCCCCCAAACCTGGAGTCCCCCAAATACTCCAGCATTGAAGGTATAGAGGGACAAACCTCCAGAGCCCCCAGACACAGCCAGAGACTCCCAGTGGTCTTAGACGTAAGTCTTAGAGGCAGACAAAGTCACAGAAGAGGGATGGTGCCCCAAGACTAGAACAGGGCTGTTAGGGTATCCGTGAGTCCTTTGAGTAGGAGCCTGTGCTCTGTACCCTCTCGGCACCCTGGAGGAGCTCAGGGGTGGCACATGGTGGCTTCAGCCAGGCAGGCCCCAGGAGGCTGAGCTCCCAGCATATAATGATTGCTATACTTGCATGTGGCCCAACGATGGCAGAGGCCCTGCAAGCCAGGAGACCATGAGGGATGGGACAGTGCCTCTCAAGTCCACACTGTGGGCCACACACTAGAGGGACTCCAATGCCTTGCCTCTGCAAAGTCCCCTGGAAGGGGCAGGACAGGAAGCCCCAGAGGGACAAAGCTCAAATCTGCCCACAGTAGGGATGAAGGATTATATTCAATTTAATGTCATTTAAAGAAAACAGTTGCAACATTTTTTTGCCCACTTGAATTTGTGGCTGCAATTCATACTCATGATATACACACCTCCACACCCAGAACCCAACACACCAGATACATACACGAAGAAACACGACACACGCTGAGATGCTGCTAGACGCCATACACCCCCCACCTAGAAAAACACAAACGTAGCCTAGTAACTCCGAAGCCCAAGCAGGAATACACGGAAGCAGCACACTCCAGAGAAATAACCTGGAGAGGTACACACAGGCCCCAGACACACGACCCAGAGACCCGCACGCCACATGCAGAGATGTTCCTCAAGCACACACCCCTGCCTGGGCCAACAGCCTTGGGGGCACAAGGTGTTGTTCCATCAGGCCCAAGCAGGCAGCCCTTCCTTGGTGACAGGGCCTCACACCCACTTGTGAGCAGCAGCCGGGCTCCCAGACCCTGCCCTGTGCCCTCAGAGGCCATCTGAGAGTGGGCACGGGGAGGAAGGAAATAAAACGCTGAAGCCCACCAGGGAGTCTGAGGAGTGGAGGGGTTGCATTTGACAGGAGTCAGGGACACAGGGGACAACATCCAGCCCTGCTTCTGCTGCAGTCTGTCAGATGTGGCAGCTCATACAGCCCAGGGTATGTAGGGGGCCTGCTGCTTGGAAGGGCTCCCATGTGCCACCAAGTAGGAGGCCCAAGCATGGGGCTGGCACAGCGCAGGTGGCAGGAAATGTTTGTTGAATGAATGTGTGAGGTGGGGGGAGGAAAGGCCCAGGGATGCCTGCCAGGTGGCCTCTCCCCCTGGAATCTGTGCCCAAATCCCAGATGGCATTTCGTCTGCAGGGCTATTCCTGGGCCCTGAGCCAGCCAATGCCTTCAGCCAGGCCAGGGAGGGAGTTGCTGCTTCTGTCCTGAGGCTCTGGAGGCTCTGGTCCAGCCCAGAGATGGCATGTGGTTGGCAAAACTGTCCACTGTCCCTCGGCACTGGCTCCTGACTCCTTCCAGCCCGCCCTGCACCCTGGACTTGCCTCTGCTGGACCTGAGACAGCTGTCGTAGATAGTGGAAGATCCCTCCTTGGCTGGGGAACCCCCTGGGCCAGGCTGGGCATGAACTTGACTCAGTGTTAGGTCTCCAGCACCCAGCACAGGCCAGTGCCCACCCCTGTCACTCCCGGCCGTGGGGACTGGGGCTCTGGACATCCAGCCCAGGCTTAGGCTGTAAATGGGGGAACTCATCTCAGCCCAGGACCAGGCAGTGTGGGGAGCAGTCCTAAACCCCAACCCCTGCTTCCGCCTCCAGCAGCAGGGCCGCCACTCCACATCCCTGCCTGCCCCCCCCCCCCCGGGGCCAGAAGGACTAGAGCAGCCTCCACCCTACTTCCCCCACAGGGGCTCTGCAGTCTGATCCCAGGCTGGGCTGGGTATGGTAATGACCTCTGACCTCTGGTTTTATGATATCCCCATTGGGTTGGCACTCTTATACTGGATACTAAGGGTCCTGGCAGGCTGGTGTTCCTGGGCTCTGAGCTCCCATTGCTGGAGTCCACTGGTCTCCCAGGCCCTGACAACCCTGGGCTGTTCCAGCCCGTTCTTTTTCTCCTGACTCCTAGGCCAGATAGGCCTTCCTCCCCAAAGCAGGGTCACTGCTGCTCTATCCCCTCCCAGCACAGCTGGCACCTGAGCCTGGCCCACTGTCTGCATCACCCCTGTGGCTTCTGTTGATGCACTGCTGGGCCGAGCTAGGATGCCGGGCCGTGGTGCGGCCGGAGGGGATCCGAGAACAGCCCCTTTCCCAGGCAGCACTAGCACACACACGTGTGCACGTGCACAAGGTCCCTTACTCTGTGCCTTGGCTCAGCCAGTGAGGACACAGGGCCATCTGGGGTTTTAAAACTCTGTTGAGAACCCAGCCCTGCAGGGCCCAGACAATCATTCCAGCAGATCCGGGGACTTGTCGTGACCCACCAAGGGTCGCAGCAGCTTGCCAGAGACTGAAGTCTATATCTGGTGTCCTTTGGGGGTCATCTACCGAAGTCCTCGTCTCCAGCCTGAGGGGGTCGGGGAGGCATGGAGCGTTGGTGAAGGAGCTGGTGCTGGCCTCTGCCCTCCCCAGTACCCATGTGACTGTTACTCGGGGCCACTTCCGGGCACAAGACCCCGAGGCCCCCCTTGCTCCTGCTTGGTCTACCTCAAATGTGACGTCGACAATCTCATCGATGATGAAGGCCTGGGAACGGAATTTCTGTTGCTGATTCTCCACGCCTGCTACCAGCTGCAGGTAGTGGAACAGGAGCTCCTGCTGCCTGGGGGAGGGGGAGGCAAGCTCTGGGCCCCCAGAGCCACCCAGATGGCTCTTCTGGCCTGTCTCTCCACTACTCCCGAAACTCCCGTCACCCTAGGCCTCTATTTCCGTACGTCTCCTTTTCCACATACAGAAAAGCCCCATGTCTGCCGGTGCCATGGGGCTTCTGACTATTCACTGTTTATCCTCCCAACCTCCTACCCCTCCACCTGCCCATTCGTCACCTGCCCACACCTCTCCACGCACCCACCTGCCATCCACCCATCTCCTTATCCATTCACCAACTCTGCCCACCTCCACCCGTCCACTCCCCTCTCCCTCTGCCCCCTCTGTGCCCCGTGTCTCCACCCCACCATGCTGTGTGCGCAGTCATACTCCCAAGCACTCCCCCACCCATTCACCCATTCACCTCCCCCATCTCATCAATCCGTCCATCAAAGAGCATGGAAAACAACACTGCTGGTGCTCTAGGACATAGAGAGGAATAAGAAATAGTTCTGCCCCAGAGCCGGACAACCGCTGGCACATCGTGGTTGGTGCAAATGTGGGTGTGGAGGGGTGTAGGGGAGGGAAACTTCACCAGTGCTGGGGTCTGCAAAGGGTTCTGGAGGAAGCTGAGTTTTAAAGACACATGAGGGTTTGCCAGGCTTGGGCAGGGTCCCTGGTGCTCCAAGGTGTGAGTTCAGGAGGAGCATAAGAGGGGGGCCGGGGCAGCTTTGGGGAGGGCTATTTCAGGGAGTGGATGAACTGCAGGTGGAGATACCTGGGAAAGGTTAAAGCAAGGAGCCTGGACTTATCCTAAGGGGGCAGGAGTTCAAAATCGGGGTAAGAGGGAGAAGGCAAAATGGCACTTAACAAAGACCCCTCCTGGCAGAGGTGGACCAGTGGGGAAGTTTGGAGGCCAGCAAACCCAGAGGTGCCAAGGGCCCAGACCAGCATGGTGGCCAAGGAGCTGCAACAAGGACGACGGACAGGAGAGCAACCCAGGAGGTGAAGCAACCAGGATTGGACCTCGGCTCTCCCAACTCTTGGCCACCTGAGCCTGGCATCAGCAGGCAGAGAACATTCCAGGCAGAGAGAACAGCGCAGGCAAAGGTCTGGAGGTAGAGAAGTACACGCTGTGCTTAGGAAACGGCGTGCGTGAAGCAGACATGTGCCAGGAATGGTCGTGGCTGCAACGATGCTAGGGAGGTTAGCTCAGGCCTGATCCGATGGCCCTGACCGGGAGCCACAGCACTTGGGCTCGCTTTGCGGGTGAGAGGAGCCCAGAGGAGGCCAGCAGCCAGCCTGCCCCGGGAGCTGGATGGGAGCCAGTCTGGACCGGGTAGGGCAGGGCCCAGCTCTCAGAGCGAAGGATCTCTGGGGGGCTGCGCCTGAGAGCCAGGAAGTGGGAGCCTGTACTAAGGACCCCAGTCATGAGCACAGTCCCCAGCCATGAGTCCCCAGTTGTCCTGGCCCAACTGGCCACTCAAGCCGACAGGAATGGAGGTTGCCCACCTGGCCCCCAGGCCTTTACCCAAGCTGTTCCCGCCACCCGCCTCCTCATTCCTCCACCTGGCTGAAGTCCACCAAGCCTCTAGGACCCAGCACAGGCCTTTAGAGGTGGGGCCCCCATGGGCAGGGACTGAGTCTGTGTCCTCTTTGGGTCCCTGGAGCCCTCACAGGGCTGCCCCTGACAAAGGTCGGATGTTTCTTGAGTAAAGGCGTGAACGGAATCCCTGCTGGTGGCTGGCACGGGAACCTCTGGGTGTGCAGGAGCCACTCGTGGTCTTCACGTGCCACCCCCGGGCGGATACACGTGAGCCTTAGTGCTCCGTCCCCCTTCCGGGGGGGCGGGCAAGGTCCCTTCCCTCCAGCCCATGGCCGGGCTCCCAGACCTCTCCCTCAGACCCGCGACCTCCCCTCTCCTGGCCTCTCTCACTTCTTCGTCATGGCCCCAAACTTTTTCTCCAGGAGCTTCTTCATGGCGCTGTCACTCAACTCGTCTCCATGCTCTGGATGTAGAGAAGGGGGAGGTCAAGAAATCACCTGGATTCGGAGAGGGGGTGGGGGAGACCCCATGTGTCATGGAGACAGAGGCCAAAGGAGCTTGCGTCTGGGACACCTCCAAAGGGGCTGCTTCTCCAGGCAGGGCGTGTGTGGCAGTTTTGTTTGCCAATCCAGCAACCATTCCTTCTTCTTCCCGTAAAAGTGTCTGAATTTTCCTGAGGGGCCACCTCCATCCCTTTTCAATCCACGCTATCTAGCTGGGGTTGGTCCCAGCCCCCCACCCTCTCCGAGGACACGTGACTCAGGTCTGGCCAATCAGAACAGCCTATCCTTTGGGCTGCAGTGACTGGTTCAGAATTATGTACTAGGGGGTTTATTTCTCGGACTTCATTGGCACTAGGGTTACAGAGCACAGAGAATTAAAATAAAGAAGACCAAATTCTGATCATGATTTGAGTCCTGGATCCAGCCATTCCTGAAAGCCCATGTACCCTCAACTTGCTAAGTAATTTGAGCCAATTAATTTCTCTTTTTTTTTTTTTTGAGACAGAGTCTCGCTTTGTTGTCCAGGCTAGAGTGAGTGCCATGGCGTCAGCCTAGCTCACAGCAACCTCAAACTCCTGGGCTCGAGGGATCCTTCTGCCTCAGCCTCCCGAGTAGCTGGGACTACAGGCATGCGCCACCATGCCCGGCTAATTTTTTATATATATATCAGTTGGCCAATTAATTTCTTTCTATTTATAGTAGAGACGGGGTCTCGCTCTTGCTCAGGCTGGTTTTGAACTCCTGACCTTGAGCAATCCGCCCGCCTCGGCCTCCCAAGAGCTAGGATTACAGGCGTGAGCCACCGCGCCCGGCCAATTTCTCTTTTTGATTAAGCTGTTGTGAACTGAGCGTCTGTTGCTGATGGAGAGTGCAGGTGAGGGGCCAGGTGATCTCAGAGGACCCTTAATTCTCTGGTGTTGATAATCCTAAGAATGGAATTCCGGAGCTCATATTCTGAAGTTCTGAGAATCCTTAAGCAGGAAGTAAACCAACTGGTTCAAAATCAATTCACCCAGGAAATCAGGGGTGTGAAAATGAACATGCACAGGAAACTTCATTTTTGTAGACTTTCAATCCATGTTGAATGACTCCAGACAAGTGTGTATAACCTTGACAAAACCCACGAAGGCAGTTGAAACCATCCCGTGGAAGACCAATTGCTATGAACTTTATAAGTTATTAACAGAAATGGGGGTTTGGTGAATTGTAAGTTGGCCAATTAGTCTTTTCCGAAGTAGGTCTTTCAAGAATTCACTATCAGTTTAATCGGCTTTGGGAGAATTGTCCTAGAGCCCTAAACTCTGTAAGGCCTCCCGAGGCTCAGATTCTAAAACTCAGAACTGAGCCAGGCATTCTGTGCCTGACTGTGGAAGGAGGCTGAGGGCCTGGGGAGGTGAGCACAGCCTTCGGGCAGGCCGGCGTGGGCAAGGTCAGTACCTTGTTTGAGCTCTGTCAGTGAGTCCTCCAGCAGCTTCTCTTGGTTTTGGGCAGCCTTCTGAGAAGAAAAGCCTCGGTCCTGCTGGAGTCCCATGCCCACCCATCCCTGTAGCACCCTGAGCCTCCCTCTCGTGCTTCCTGATCTGGTCCATCTGCCCAAACCCACTTGGTACCTCTTGCTGCAGTTTCTCCAGGCCTTTGAGCAGTGCCATCTGGAAGTTATCCACCAGGACAGCAATCACCAGGCTGGGGAGGGCACAGCGGGGGCTCTCAAGGAGGAGGCCGTAGGAGAAGCCCTGCATCCCCCCGCACCCCCCACCCCAGCCCCTGGGTTCTGTGCGGTTTGGCCAGGGTGAGAGGGCTGGGGTGGAGGTGCCCAGGGGGAGGCGGGGGAAGGGGAGGGAAGCCGGGCAGCAGAGCATGGTGGGGGCCTCACTTGAGGAAGATGAAGTATTGGATGATGATGTAAATCATGAGAATGGGAATGATGTACCAGGCGCCTGGGGGAGAGTGGGAGAGAGGGGGTCCATGCGTCTGTGCTCGCCCGGCCACATCACACCCCTGCCAGCAGATGGGGTGGCTGAGTCTTCAGGGTCTGCCCCCCCTAGCCAGTCCCCTGTCCTCCCCGCAGCCAGGGGCCTGCCCCACCCTGAGCCCGGCTGTCCATGTAGATGAGGGACCAGTCGTCCAGAGTGAGCATGGTGAAGAGGGTGAAGATGGTGCTGAAGATGCTCTGGAAGCGCTTGGGATCAGATTTGCGGAACAGTGCCCGGAGTACCACGGAGAAGAGGACTGGCTGTTCAGGGCCAAACCAGGCTCCTTGGTCCTATCCTTGCCCCAGGGCCCCTCCTCCCCCAGTCCCGGCTGCCCCCACCCCTTCCACTACAGCCCCCAGCCCCCTGCTCCCAGCCCCCGGCACAGGATACAGAGGCAGGTAAACATGAGGATGAGAATGGCTGCGATGGATGAGAAGGTCTGGGCCAGGGTCCCTGTCATTTCATGGAGGCTGGTCAGGATGCTGTGGGCAGAAGTGGAGAGGGGGGCCGAGTCAGTGGGGGTGGTGATCTGTGCCCAGCAGCCAGAACCGGCACTGAAGGCAGGAGGGCCCTGATTTGTGGGTGACTTGGGTGAGTCCTGGCCCCTCTCTGGAAAATGAAGAGATTGATCCCACTGGAGGGTGGGAGGCTTATCAGAATCAGGCTTGGGTCTTCAGCTCCTGACCTCCATCCTTGGGGTGGTCACAGTGGACCCTGGGAGGCCCCATACCAGGGTGGGCAGCCGTGGCTGCACTGACCTCAGCTTCCGCAGGACCCGGATGGCCCTAAGGGCCCGAAGGCTCTTTAAGACTTTGAGGATCCGGAAGACGCTTAGTTGGTACATGGAGAAGGAGTAGAGCTGCAAGAGCGTGAAGTCCAGCATAGCGACGATCACGATGAAGAAGTCTGAGGGGACACAGGTGCTCAAGTGTGGCAGGTTCCTGTGGGCCGCTAGCCCGCCCCACAGCCTCCTGATGCCAACACCCCGTCCCTGCCCCTTCCATCCTCAGCCTTCCCCAGACAGTTCAGTGGCTCCCGCCAAACACACATGCAGGCACGCACACGCACTGCACCCAGCCCCAGCCCCACACACCCAGATTGTTCCACACATCACGAAAATACGAGAAGCCCAGGGCGATGATCTTGAGCAGAGCTTCCAGTAGGTAGATGCTGAAGAAAATGGCATCCAAGACCGTGAAGTACCACTCTGTGGGGATACCAGGGGGTCACTCATGGCCGCCCCCAGCACCTTTTCCTCTCCCCTCACCAATGGGACCTCACACAAGCCCAAATATCTTGGCTCTCCCTGGCTCTGCCCTAAATGGCTGTGTAACTTAACCACTCTGTGCCTTAATTTTCTTGTCTTTACAACGTGGATAATAAAACTCTGCCTGATAGAGTTGTTGTGAGCATTAAATGCATTTAACACAGGGTTTAGAATTGAGCCTGAAACTGAGCTGTGGTAGGTCCTTTCCTTCACCCTGCCGGGTGGCGTTTTAGGGACCAGCCTTCCCAGGCGTTCCACTCTCACCCTCCTCAGCCTCCTGCCCTTGGCCTTCTCCTCCAGTCTCCTGCCCTTCCTACAAATCCTGGGTTCCCCTCACCCTTCCTGCTCAAAGCAGCATATTCAGAGTGACACGCCCCCTGGTGGTTTTACCGCGAACAGCAGGTCGGCAGTTCAGCTAGTGTTCGAATCTTTCTGAGCCTCATCTTTAACACTGGGTGAAGATCAAGTGAGTTAAGTTTTATAAATGGCCCGTCACTTGATCAGGCCCACAGGAGGTCCTGGAACAGCATCAGTGGGCTTCTCCATGTCGACAGGGCTCCCTGGCTCTTACCACCCCGGATCTCCACTTGGGCGAAGGTCTGAACCACAAGCATGATAGTGTTGAGGCAGATGATGAAGAAGATGAAGAATTCAAAGACCAGGGAGTGGGTCAGGTCCCAGATCATTTTCCGGAATTGCTGAATGAAGTAGCTTAATTTTTCCCACAGCCACTGCAAGAGGTTCCAAGTGTGTGTCTTCTTGTGGGCCCGCTGAGACCGGCCGGCTGTAAGGGGGCCAGAAAGTCAAGTCTGTTTAGATGGGGGACATGGGGGTCCCAGGCACCCTCCCAGACAGGGTCAAAGTTCCTTGTCATTCCTGCCTGATCTCCTGCCATCCACTAAGGTGCCTCCGTGCTAGCCAGTGTCGGTATTGGGGCCACAGGCCCCACTCCTTCCATGGCAGGTGCCAGCCTGTTTGGGAGTTGGAGTTGGCTGGAGTGGATCCCGAGAGCTCCTGCTCCTCACCTCCATGCCTTTCTTTGCTCACATGGCAACTTACACATGGAAAATCCCCCTTCTTGACACCCTATCCTCTTTGTAAATTCACCCTCTCTCTTTAAGATCCTGCTGAAATAGTCCCTCTTCCAGCTGCCTTTCCTGTCCCCATTCAATAAGACACTCACCCTCCCTGCTTGTTCGTGAGACTGTTGCCATGTTTACTGAACTACTGGGAACCAAGTCTGGGTGTTGTGAGTTAACAGGCAAGGTTTCTCCCTGCCCTCCAGTAAGGCCTCATTCAGGCACTATCTCCTGGGCTCTGTCCTCATGCAGCTCCCAGTTTAGTGGGAGAAATGTGGACAGATAGAATCCACAGTGGTAAATGTTCTCATGTGGAGGAGGACAGGCCCCTATCACTGGATAGTTTGTGATTGGTTAAGTGGCCACTCCTAGTCTTGGAGCCCCTTGAGGGTAGCAACAGTATTGGATTTTTCCCTGTGCTGCCAGAGCCCTGGCAGGCTGTACACCCACATTCATCAAGAGTCAATGTATGAGAAGTGAACGTGTGCATGAACAAAGCAGTGACTGAATCAACACACATCTCATGGCCTGAAGAGGTGCATAATTCAAGGAATAAAAGATGGGATGATGAACAATCAGGAGAGTGAACAGCCAGTGAACTACATATGCAGGTGAGGGTCAAGTCTCATGATCTGTGGAAGGTGAGCGTGGGGGCCGGGGCAGGTTTGGAATCTAGGCCAGGCTGTGGGAGTTGGGGGGGGAGGGATGCCTGGGAAAGACTCACTTTTGCGCTTCTGAAATTGCTCATCTTCTGTGTCCCAGGTTTCTGACACTTTGGAGGAGAAATCCTTAGGATAGACTTTGCTAGAGAGCTGGGAGCCCATCGAAGTGAGGGCCTGAGTTACGCTGGAGGCCGCGCTCCCAGGTGATGCCCCACCACGTTGGGGAGGTGTCATAAGAGAAATGGCAGAGGTGAGGGTGTGCGGCACAATCAGGCTGCGGGTCTCGTGTGGGGTAGAGAGTTGGGAAGCAACCCGAGGGCGGGAGCCTTTACTAAGGACAGGCTTGAGTTGGCGATCGTTGTCATCGAACTGATGCGAGCTACGTTGGGACTCGCTGTGGCGGTGCTCTCTGCGGTGGTGGTGATCTCCGTGGCGGTGGCCTCTGTGGTGGGAATGCTCACCATGGCGGTGGCCTCTGTGGTGGGGATGCTCACCATCCTGTTGCTCACTGGGGCGGCGATCACCATCATCATGCTTGGTTTGCTGGCGAGGTAAGCCTTGATGGGAGGCCCCCTCGAACGAAAGATGGGAGGCATTCTCTTCATCTTGAAGAGGCCTCCCCTGGTGGCGGGCTTCACGTTGACGGGACTGGTTATGGAGGAGCTCATCAGGGTGGGAAGTCTTTCTGAGGTTGTTGGACCCATTGTGCTGGGAGGATCCACCATCAAAGAACTGGGACAAATTCTCATCAAGTGGTTTGGGCCCACCCTGAGAGGGGGGCTGGCCATGGCGGTGAGACCTGCCATAGTGGGAGGGTCTGCTGTGGTGATGAGATCTACCCTGGTGGGATCCAGCATGCTGGGCCCCACTGTGATGCATCCTGCTACCATAGTGGTGCTCATCATTGAAGTAGTCCTCTCCAAAGGCAGGATGGGGAGAGACAATGTCATGAGCAGCAGCTGGACCAAGGGCTGTAGGGCTGTAGGCTCTACCATGGTGCTGAGATTGGGAGGGATTGTCGTGAAGGTCTTGGAACTCACGAGAGTGGTGAGACCCACCGTGATGGTGGGGTGTGCCATAATGGTCAGACTCACTGTGGTCATGGGCCATCCCGTAGTGAGGGGACCTATGGCGGCGGTGAGCTCCACTGTGACCTGGCCTGTGGTGTGGGGACGATGAGAGGGGCTGAGAGAACATGTCCAAGTTATTGGTGTCTGCCTCATTTTGAGCCTTTTCAGACATTGAGGTTTGATCCATGACTGTGCTAGGATCCCTGGAACAAAGAGAGATCAAGACCTGGGCCTAACAGGCAGCTCCTGGATTTCCCTTCTTTCCTAAGCTGAGCTCAACACAAACTGCAACGCTGGGCTTCTAGGAAGGCCTGACTATTCTCATGGAACTCTTCCTTCTATGATGTCACCAGTAGGCCTGGGCCTAATTCCCAAATGCCTCCTCCTGGGCTGTAGTTCAGAATCAGGAATTACTGTGTCCAGTTCCCTCACGGTAAAATGAGGAAAACGAAGTCAAGAAAAGGGAAGGGCTGGCCTAAGGTGACCCAGCAGGTCAGTGGCAAAGCTGGACAAAGAAGTCCATGGTGACATCATGGCTTCATCAGTTGCTTTAGCCCTGTTGGAAAGAAATTCATAAGGCCAAGTGGTCCAGTCTCTAGCCTCACCTAGATATAGTTGGTTGTATGGTTAAGACTGCCTGACTCTCCTATAAGTAGGTCTGTGATCTTAGGCTTGCTATTTAACTCTCCTATGCCTTGGTTTCTTCTGCTGTAAAATGGGAATATTGTATTTAGCTCACAGAATCAATAAAATTAAGATCTGTAAAGCTTATACTAATAGCATAATAAATGTTAATTGATGTTAATTATTCTCTCCTTGATCATTGATATAGATGTAACCCCCCCCTCTTGGGTTATTGCCAAAATAAAATTATCAGCCATCATTTATTGAGGACCTACTTTATACATATTCAGTTTAATCCTCACAATAACCCCATTTGACAGAAAGAGGTGCTGTGGCTTAGAGAGTATAAATGAGTTGCTCGGTGAATAAAAACTTAAAATCATCTGTCTCACTCTAAGGTCTGTACCTGTGACCATCATGCTGTCTTGCCTTCCTCCTGAAACCCACTGCAAAGCTTGTCCTGCATACCAAATTCAGTGCACAGCACAGCTCTTTTGGAAGCTTACAGGTTACTCCTTTGACAACAGCAGCTTTCTGAGTGCTTGGTCAGAGCCAAGTTCATAGGGGGCATTGGATACAAGGTTCCCAGTGATGAAAGAGACATGGCTCCTGCCCTCAAGGAATTCACTGTCTGTTGTCAGCAGTAGACAAAGAAATAGTTTGTGGTAGGACAGCTAGTTGTCCCACCAATTTGCTTTCATCTTCTTCCTGGGCACAGGGCCTCCCAACTCCCTGCATTCCCAAGTGTACATTGCACATAAATGTCTACAAGGTGAGAGCAGAAGCAATGTGAGGCACTTCTGGGTGTTGGATTTCAAGCATCAGATGCCTGAACCTCTGTTTTCCCCCCTCCTGTAGACTGGAGCCCGGATGCAATAAACAGGATCAAAACTCTAGGGCTACATTTTCAACTGGGGTTCTGCGGAAACAAACTTCCTTGAGACATTTCTAAACCAGGGGTTGTGTATTTTTTTTTTCTTGGCTCTTTTCAGTTTATTGCGTGAACGAGTTACACTAGTCCAAGTTAAAAGCAGACCCCAAATAGTTACATTATACAAGCTATGAGGTTTTTAAACTTGTGAGAAGGGACAGAGAGGAAATTCTACTTATTGCAGGGAAACCCTCACTTAAGCTTCAGTGAGCCATGAGCACTTAAAACCATGAACCTTCAGCTGATTGTCCTTAGCCAGTCCAATCTCTATAAGGAACTGGCACATGTTCTTGCACTGGTGTCCCTGTACTGAATTACTTCTCCATATTCTGGATGCTCAATCATGGTACCATTGCAGGCAAATTTCTTCTTAAACGCCTTCACTGTATTTCTTTTTATTGTAATCACCAGCAATCCCGACAATAGTAAGGGTCTTCCTGCTGTTTGTCTGTTGAATTCATATGTGGATATAATCCTCAGTGCCTGCAGGAAGCAGCTCATCACTCTTACTTGCACCAGCAAAGGGACCGAAAGGGTGCAGGGTCTAGATAGAGGACATAAGGTACGATTCCTTTTCCTCAGAGAAGGTGGCGGCAGGAGAAAGCAGGGTGGGGGCTGAGTATGGAGGAGGCTGCTGAGTCCTCAGCTCAGTGACTTGGCCCAGGGGTTCTGTATTGTGATTGAAAAAAAAAAAAAAAAGGCATCGTTTTTGAATGTCATGTGCCACGTGATGTCAGTACTTACAGTGACATGAAATCAAGCAGCTGCATGGTGGCAAACAGAGGGACTGAGTTCATTTGATTGAGTCCTTTTTCAGTTTTTAATGTGAGATCAGGAAGTTTGTTGATAATTTGTGAACATGTATGGCCTGGAGAGAAGGAGGTCAAAGTTGATCATATCATCCCTGCCCTTCTGAGTTACCTGCACGAACACCTGACTTACGGGAACGAACAGACTACTGGTATGAAAGAAAAATCAGAGGAAGTTTTCCTTCTAAAGAAATAATTTTTATATCCTGTAACTCAGCTGCCTTCTTGCCACTTTGCTATTGATTCTGCAGGTTAGCAGTGAATTTCATTGTGAAGATTTCATATTTTTTTGCAAGTTTTTTTGTTTAGTCACCTGTCCTGCCCTTCTATTTTATATCTTATTATTAGCATTTGTCTTTTACAGATGAGTCTCACAGTCCATTGGGTAATTGTTGGGGACTGACATTATACTTTCCTGGTTTAAGAATTAAATTTAGTGAGTAATGTACGTGCTCTGCCCAGAGCGTTTGAGAGTAATGTGTTCCGGACAGGGTCCAGATAACAAATAAGGTTGCTGCCTAGAGGCATAACAAAGGCCTGAGTTTCTGCAGGTAGACAAGAGCTGCCCAACCCCACTATAAATGGAGGCCTGGAGGCCACACGATAAACGCATTGTTCCTATTATTGTTGCCTGGCCCTGTAAGATGGCTGGATAGTCAATGACGGGTAGGATTCCTCGAGGAGGAACAACCTAAGACAGACATAGCCGCTTGGGGGAGGGGCAGCCAGGAGGAACTGGGGACAGAAAGTGCCCCCTGTGGCTGCCTTGCTTAATCTTGCTTATCTTAGCCTGTGACCTATGCCTGGAAACTTTGAGTCAGTAAACATCTGTTTCCTTAGGCTACATGTTCCTGAACAAACAACTATTACTGCAACATCTGGGTGGTCACATACAAGAAACTAACTTTGATTTTTTAGAGTATAAAAATAAAATGACTGGTGCGTTCTACACTGCAGTCTTGTACTGTCTTTGTGAGTGTCTGTGTCTTTCTTTCTGTCTCTTTGTTCTGTGTTCATCCCCCATCCTGCAAACGGGCCAGAGCAGGTAATTTTTTAATATGAGGTGTGAAATGAAAGAGGATTCTAGGACTAAGACGTGGGCAAATCTGGTAAGGTTGGATAGTGACAAAGAGTTACAACTCACACATGTAGCAAAGGCTCCAGCAAAATTGAAAAGAACCTCCCTACAAATCATAGCCATTGGACAAGTAAGTGTGGTATTTTAAAAGCATCTATTGGTATCTCAAAACAAACAGATCAAGGCTTTTATTTTAAAAGTCCTATGGCTCAAAAAGCAAGTTATTTGGTAGCAGAAACTGTTATCCACAAAAAGAAAAGTCATACACGTGGTGAGAACCTAATAGTTAGCCAGGATGTAAAATGACTGTGAGTAAAATGCTAATGCAAGATGCACTACAAAAGAGAAAGTTCTACTCTCAGACAGAATAATAACTTGATATATTGATGGCATGTGATGCTGAAGAGGTTTTTGTTTGGGTTTCTTTGGTAGCATACTGAAAAACAACAGATTCTTTTTTTTCTTACTTTTTTTTGAGATGGGGATTTTGCTGTTTCCCAGGCTGGTCTGGAACTCCTGGCCTCAAGACATCCTCCAGCCTTGGCCTCCTGAATAGCTGGGACTACAGGACTAGCCACAATGACCACCACCACCAACAGGTTCTTTTCTTTTATTTTTTTTAGAGATAGGATCTCACTCTGCTGCCCAGGCTTGAGTGCAATGGCGCAATCATAGCTCACTGCAACCTCAAACTCCTGGCTCAAGTGATGCCCCCGCCTCAGCCTCCTGAGTAACGGGGATTACAGGCATGTGCCACTATGTGGGGCTAATTTTTTAATTTTTTGTAGAGACAGGGTCTTGCTGAGGGAAGAAACAACATGAAGTTCATTTCTCCTAGAGTGCATTCTGAGTATATCTCCACATCCTCAGAACACTCCAGAGATTCTTGAAACACCTGTGTGTCAGAATGAGTAAGGAAATCTAGAGATGCTGGGACTTCTCAGCCTCTTGAGCCAATCTGCATAGTTAATCCCCATATGTATGCACATGTCTCCTAACAGTTCTGCTTCTCTGGAGAGCCCCAGCTAGTGCAGTGTGTGAGACACCCTCTTGGCAAGGGATCAGCACACGCCTGTCACAGTCAGCTTTAGCCTTAGGGTGCCTCCAATGCTTTCAGTAAGTACCTCCTGATTTATTAGGGAAAATCCAAAGAGGGTCGACTCCCCATGGGAAGGACTCGGTATGGTGTCCTAGTCTGGGGACGTGTGAGTGCCAGCTTCTATTTGGAAGCTTGTATACAAATTCTGGTTATTATTCAAAAGTCTGTTTTCCATGGGAGATTATGAGTTCTTGGCGGAGTGGCTGTGTCCTTTCTGTGTCCAGACGGCTGTCCTGGGTCTGGCGTGGAGGGAGAGGAGGTGCTGGCAGTGATGGGGAGAGGGGCAGGGAGAGGCGGCTGAGCCGGGCTGGGGCTGTCAGGGCAGCCCCTCAGGCGTGGGGTGTCTGGGGGGAGAGGAGGAGTGGGTGTGGGGAGGTGCTGGGGCAGAGAGACCCGGATGTGAGGGCTACAGAGGCCAGAGCCAGTGCTGGTGGGGCAGAAGGGGGAAGTCGCTCAAATGGCCTGGGGGACAGAGCCCAGGGAGGGGGAGGAGGGGGAGGGAGGTGGGTTGGGAAGGTCCTGTAGCTGCCTACAGGGTGTGTCCTGCACCCTGAGTCAAGAGGAAGGTCAACCCTTTATGGTATGTGTAGCATGAAAATATTTTCTCCCATTCTGTAGGTCGTTTGTTTGCTCTAATGATAGCTTCCTTGGCAGTGCAGAAACTTTTTAATATGATCAGGTCCCATTTATTGTTGTTGCTGCTGTGATTACTTTGGGGGTCTTCTTCATAAGTTCTTCACTTAGGTGCACACAT